CAGTGAATTTTAGAAAAAAAGCTCTATGCGTCGGTCAAGGACAGAGACATCTGAATCTTTAGATATTTATAACTCCTGAAGGGTAAGAGATACGACTGTCGTTCCTATTATGAAAGATGCTTGGTTTTTCATAAACTATCGATTGGTCGAATAAAATTCTATTGTTAATTATGATAGTTATTTCAGGGATCTAATGGACAAAGTAGCAATCTTTAAACCTTGATATCTTCTAAATGGTAGAAGTTACGATGGTCGTTCTTATTATAAAAACTGCTTAATTCTGCTTGATCAGAAGATTGGTCAAATAAAATTGTATAGTTAATTGTTAAGGAAATTTTTTTGAATGTACTGAATGAGTGCGAGAAGGACAGACATATGCTATCTCGTAAACTATTAGAGATACGGTCTTGGCGCATAATACGAAAGTTGTTGGGCTTGCCTCAATTAGTTAGATTATGCTATAAAATTATATTGTTAATAATTGCAATAATACGGGGATAAAGGTAAGATAATATATATGCGTAATGTAATAATGCTTTATTCGTTTGGGGAAGGTTATACAGAGGGCAGGCGTCCTTATTAATGACAATATTCCAAGATTTTAATTTGTGCATTTGCAAATAAGAAGTTAAATTGAATATTTTTGTTATGTTTATTATTATATATATATATTTTTTTTTTTAGACGGACGTCACACCTTCCTCCCTTTTTTAGAACGAATTCCCTTTTTTTTTAAGAAGGAATTTGTTCTACCTTATCCAAACGATTGTTTAAGTCACTATAAGTATATGTAGTAGGGATAGTAGTTACGCTTGTTGGTGCGGTTGGTTCGACATCAATTTTCGATATTCGGGGAATGATGCGGTACTTGTAGATTGCAGGTGGTTCAGCTGGTGGAGCTTGTGCTTGTGTAGATAGATTTGGTGGAAAGGCTGAGTCATTCTCCTTGCTGTCCTCCTTTTTAGCAGGGTTGCGAGCTAGGTGAAGGAACAAATGAGTGAGTGAACTCCAGATGGCTCCGAGGAGATGTAAGCTGCATTCGTAAGCTGTATGGAGAGCATATCCATGTATAGCCGTGTCGATAATGATTTTGATTAAGCGGATGATCAGGAAGATGCCAAATATCCCAGCAGTGGCGGAACCAAAGGTGATGAATCCATTCCAGATTCGTGAAGCTGTGGTGTTGACAATTTTGTTGAGCGATTCCTCGTCCAACAAATTATATACAGAGACAGAGTCTGTCGAAGGAGTGGCCTGTGAGTCCTCTCGCAACAGAGTTAAGTAAGGCTGGTTTTTCTGCAGGAAACATAATGTGTTCCCGTAAGCGTCCGATGTCTTTGTCGGAATAAATTCCGCTGCTTGCTAGGGGTCCGGGTGTTAGGTACTTCCATGATAATTTCGTCAAAGGCTGCAGTTGCTGAGGCGGTGATTGCCGTACCTGCGGTTCTGGCGTAAACTGAACCCAAGTATCTTCTATGCGGTATAGGGTGGGCAACTCGGAACTGCATTCACGCTGGTTCCCAACCTTTGTAAGTATTCTTGATTTTGGTGTAAGAAAAAATGACTCGTTGCGCACAGTTATAGGAAGCTCGGTATAGCACTCCTTGGTTCTTCTTACTATGGCGTCAACTGGTATGCATTTGATAATGAAGACGGCTTCGC